GCTGGGCTCTGTAGGCTGAACTTCTAAAAGATTCTGCTGCAGCATTTGGCTTGGTATTCAAATAAGTACCACAGGAAGGCCAGAGGGGAAGTTGGCCATTTACTGTGCAATTTTCCTGGTAGAGGTCAGGGTTCTCCAGTCTCAACATCCTGCCTGCCTGCCTGATTTTGCTCAGTGGTGGAGAGCCTCTGCTGTAATAATGCAGGGCACAGAAAAAAATTCTAGCCCATCAGTGAGACAAGATGGGGAATGCAGCAAGAGCCTTGCCTACTCAGCCCGTCTTTTTGCGGCTTCCAGGATATCCTGCGCCATTTCCTCCGTTCTTCATGGTCTTTTTTGCACAGGAAGAAATGGGTGCTCTGCAACTCTGAATGTCAAACCAACAGTGCTCTGCTTCAAGCTGTGGGGCTTTTTTAGCTAGCAAATATAGCCTTTTGATTCCTTCAGAGGGTTTGGGGGAAAGATCCAAGAAAAAAAGGTAGCTGCTCTGTATTTCAGCTGTCTCATTTCTGAGCGTCCTGCCACCAAGCAAATACCCATCACCAGTCTGACCTCTCTATTCCCCTCCAGTGAGATTGTTTCCAAGCCAAATGATGCATCCAAAGATTCTCTCTTGCTTTGTGAGTGAGTTCCCAACCACACTGACTTCTCAAAGGGTTCAGGTTTGGAGAGTTCACCAGTGACCAAGACAACATATTTAATATCTAAAAAAAAAAGTTAACATGAGCTGAAAAATTGTTCTCACAGGAAAGGAGTCAGATTGAACTCCTCAGGCAAATTTTCTGTTTCTCGATAAGAATTTAAATTTGTTTTTCTGCAGCAGACCCTTGAAAAGGTTGTAGCACAGCATAGCTGAAAGGTACTTCTGTGATACAAATGGAAAAGCTTACCACTGATAATCTTACCACCACCAATGAAAATGTTAATTCTGATGACTGAACTGAAGAAAGAAGGGAGAAGGCAAGGAAGCTCCAACTCCCCCCCTTCTTCCCAAGAAGAACCCAAGCCTCCTCTGTGTCTACATAGAAGCTAAACAAAACACCCTTGAAACAATCACAGTGTTCTTGGCTTGTGATCTGTGGTGTCAGGGTTTCCTTTTGGAAAAAATTACCCATCTTCCTGCATTATGGGCCTGTTTTTAGGGACAGTGAGTATGAGACATTTGAAAAATAAATCCTCAACCATGAAAATAACAGAGGAAACAAGCTTTATTTTTATTATTTGAAATTTTTGTGCGTGGTAAAGGTACACATTTGACTGTTTTTCCTACATTTCCAAGACAGATTAATTTTTTTTTAATCGTCGGCTAAAGCATCAAGAATACCGTGGCGCACAGGAAGCTAAAACTACACACACACACACACACACACACACACACACAAACACTTTGATGCACATCTTTCATCCTTGACCTTAAGGAGATGAAGTTTGTGTTCAGTCTCACGGGGATTTAAAAAAAAAAAACAAAAACAACAACAAAAAAACACCAAGTAAGAAGAGTATTTCATTATGTGTCAAGAGAGTACAAGGCTTACATGTACACAAAGCATATGGGATTGACTTACAAAGATGGAATGTACCAAAACTTCTTAAAAAAATCAGGAAAAAAGACAGACTCACTTCTAGAACTGGAAAGCTGCAGCATTATCAACTGGTAGAGATTTCTAACAGGGGTACTGCCATACACTGTGCAGCTTTGGGAACGTTCCCATGTCATAAAGCCAAAGCAAAAGTGTCAGGGTTAAGGCCGTGTTGCTCACAAACGTCAACTGAAGTGCTGTACATTCATCGGAAATAACACAACCCATTAAGAATCTTCCTACTCCGTAGCACAAATACCTTTCGCGTGCTCTCCACAAACAGGCCAAAAGAATCACTGCTTACAACTCTTGAAGAAAATTTTCAGTGTACGTCATAATTTCATAACCAGTTGTCACCCACAACTGAAAGTCGTTTCTTTATAGCAAACACAACATACTGGGCACTTGTAGTTCTCATTATGGCAACACTAGATCCTTAGTTATAAAAAATATTGACATAAAATTGAAAGCCCTCTAGCTTTTCAGAATGAAAGAGCATTTACTAATAAATAACTCTCCATCTACATTAGGCAAATGCTGGCCTAAACCATTTTCCTTTTCTTTTTCAGCTACATTGCTGCTGGTTCAGCCTATGTAAAAATCCTCTACTGTTTATATTGGATTTACCTGAACAGATCCTTTTATTCTATTCACAAAACAATGAAAATACAGTTGGCTAGTTTGTCCTAAAATACTCCAAATTACACAAGATCTGATAAGCTTTTGAGATTACTTTTGAGTTGAAGATTAGTTAAATGAAGCACATACTTTCACCATTCACGCTGTGCTGCTAGTCAATTAGCCTTCCAGGGAAGTCAAGGGAACATCTGGTTATACCTGAAATCTGGCAGCAGAATGCCTTTAATAAAGGCTAACAACTCAGCAAATCGAGTAGTGCAATTCTGACGTTCGCTTAATTGGATGAGAAGAGAACCTGCCAGCCTTTTAGAATGGAATTTCTGCTTTGGTTGCTCTTTGTAAGGTTTATAAGCCAAGCATTTTAGCTAAGTTGGCTTCAGAAGCACGCCATAAAAGCGATGTGTTTCTCAGCTTCCCAGTGCCAGGCAGATAAGGTCAGACCTTTGAAAGGAATGCCCTGTGCCACTGAATTTGAAATCGTAGCTGGCAGCATTTGCTATGAGAAGGAACTCCAAATTAGTGACATTTTTCAGATGCAGTAAGTGCTGCTCTGGTGATAGTGTCTGAAACCTCAATAATGTCAGAAAACCCGAATGACTATTCAGTCTTAAGAAAAAATCCACATTTCACCCCTAATAGCTGTTAGCTGGGTTGTAAGGGGGTTGTGTGTGCAGAATTCCGTACTTCATCAGGATGCACTGGGTTGACATATGTTATATAAAATCCTGGTAAACAATACTCAGTCAAAGGGACTGAAAATCTTTAGAAGAAAAGTGTATACATGGAATAGTACAGTCTTAAGCATATGTTCTGATTTATAGGTTAGGGTTTGATTTCTGTGGTTCTCGGAGTTCCTGGCAACAGAGGATTTGGCAATGTTTCCTGAGTAGAAACCACACAAGTTTAGTAAAATGTTATTATGAAAATCCAAATTGGAACTAGAGTTGATTAATAATATCCATAACTGACAGCAACAGCACATTTCTCATTTTCTTTTTAAGTTTTTACCTCAAAGAACCCACACAACCTCTTTTCTTTGTTAATAAATACAGTTAAAATGCTATGTACCTTTTCTTCATTGATAAATTGGCCATTTAAGGGCATTCCAATGTCAGAAATTGCGTGTTTGCGAGAAGGTTTCTTATAAGGACACTTAGAAGGAAATTACTTGATCATCAGAAAATTTGATTTACAACTTTGTTATATTTTGATAGGACAGTTTATTGTGTAATAATTGAGATATCTTCAGAATTTTAGGACAAACTCAGTTCAAGCAGAGGGTATTTTTGTTCTCTTGGTAATAACAGACTTGATTTTTATAATCTCAAAAATATTACCACCAGTTTCTTAGCTGCATTATATAATCCAAACCTTAAGCCTTATACACAAAATATTTATTCCAATGAAGTAAGGAAACTTTTCTTTGCATGAGAATTTGTAAATTGGCTCTATGTGCAAAAAATAAACAAGGGAAAGAAGAGGAAACATCTTTAAGAAACAGTAATTAAAAAACAGACAGACTCCACATTTAAGAATTTTGGGGTCTGCATTTTTACAAGTCAAATGCATCTTTACAAAAAACCCATTAATTTTTCTCAAATTCATTGAAACAACCACCTTAACCTTTTAGAAGTAAGACAAATACTTGATGACAAATACTTGATAACAAGTAATTGAACAAAGATTTCTTTCCATTTTGCAAACATGCTTAAAATACTCCCTTGTTCCTGACCCAATGCCCTTTTGTTTCAAGGCCCTAAAAATGAGAGAAGACAGACAGTACTTCCCAGGCTATTGTAGGCATTGGCAATAAGCTCACCAGCTCCTCAAACAAGGTTTAAGAGTGAGCACCACTCTATCTGTATTAGGCTATGGTAGCAATTCATCCTTTGACCATTGGATTTAGAAATAAGAATAAAGCCAATGCTACTTTAAAAAGGACAAGTTCACGCATAAAAAAAAAAAAACCAAAACATTAAAAACAGAACCAAGTCATATGATTATAAGCATTCCCAATTAAATTAATATTTCAACGAAGAACACAGAAGAGAGATCTGGCAGGAAGAAGGAGAGACATTTTTCAGAGTACTGCCATTGTCAAATGGCATACATACGTTCCAGTTTGCTGAAATAACCTACGTTTACTTTTTTATTATTATTATTTTTGTGTCAATCAGTCATACATACATACATACAAACAAATCGGAACAAATCTCACAGTCCTTATTTTGTCCTCTAACAAAATTCCCTTTGATGAAGGACTTCAGGAATTGGTTCAAATTCATTCTTATTTGTCATGTTTTTTTTTTTTCTCATGTAAAAACAAATAGCTTTGGTAACCCTTGGCTTTCCTATACAACCTCTGTTTACCACAGTTCCTTTGGTTGTACAATGTAGGTCCTCCATAGGGGTACCTCTCTGGCTTTCTGTCCTGTGTGATGCTGCATTCTATTTTATCGGTTAATACAATGAGTTGCCTTAAGGAAACATGGCAATGAATACATATGAAAGAGTGGCACACATGAGGTTAATTGAGTTGACATTGTAATAACCCTGATCCTAATGAACTAGTTTGGTGTCAGAAGGTCTGTCGTTAATCAGAAGTTCAGCTCTCACTAATGTATCACTCAATTAAGTTTTTCCAGAGCTTTAGAAACGTCTCTGCAAAGTCCTTCCAGCACATTGAGCAAGAGGAAGAGTGAAAAACAAGCACAGGAAACAATCCTTCATTAATCCCACATGAGTAGGGAATTTGCATTGATTCTCATAGTGCTAAACGTTGAGCTGTGTTAGGTGTGACGGTTAGAGCTAGACGGATTTTGTGAGACTTAACCTTATACTAAAAGGACCTACTTGTTATAGATAGTAAGACTGAAGACTGTTAAAAGTGTAATACCTACCATGATAATGAGATCTAGAAGATTCCCAGGATCACCTCTGGGTTAAATAATGCATAACAATGATACTTCTTCAAATTTGGAAGCTCTGAGCAGGAGCTACCCTTCGCAGTCTTCAAAAAGCTTTGGGGACTTTTCCCAGATTTTTCTCATTTTTGCCTAATTAGTTAATTCCAGTTCCATAACTTGCAGTTTGCATTTAATATCACATTGTCTTTATGAATTCAATTAAAGAGGATTTTGTGTATTAACCTTTACAACAAAAAGTTCGGTGAGAAACATAAGAGGTGCAAGTCCTATGTAAACAAGGTAAGTTTGGAAATTAACACGAGAAATCCTCAGAGACTCCTTTAATATTAAAAATGGACTCAAAGTAGGAGATATCCTGCATTGGATCTCTAGGACCAGTCTTTTCCTAAGGGTGGACGATTATCCAGCTCCAGAGCTCATTGCTACTGTAAGTATCGATAGACCTTGAAGCAGTGATTTCCAGAGTCTGCAACTACAACATGGCCATCTGAAGTAAGGGCCAGACCTTGGGGACCATAAAGTGGGTCAGCAGAGGTGTTAATGTAGGATAAAAATGATCCACTTCCATCAAAAACCTTAGAGGGTGAGAAAGCACAGAATAAAGGTTATGAATAAAAAAGAAAAATAGTGGACACAAGCCTGCTCTCAATTATACCATTATACTTCTCATTTCTGAAACGGTTGATGTACACTGGAACAAACGAGGGCAGAATCTGATCTGTTATTCTCATAATATACAATTTTATATGCAAATATATTTTCTTAATACAAAGAACTAATTACAGCCAGCAGGATCTTTGGCAAGAATTAAACATGCAATGAAATAGTAATAAAAAGATCACCTTGGCTGTTCCTTGTTCTAAAAATAGCCGACTACAATAAAACAAACTCAACTAGGAACTCAACCAACACATTGTTTTCCTAACAAATATTACTGTTGTGGGTAGCATGACTCTTAGGTTCCCACACAGAGAAAACCAGGAATTTGTTTACACTGTTGACAGTGCTTCCTGAGAACAACTCATAAGCAGCTCCCTCGTTTTTATATTCAGTGAAAATAACACATACAGTTAGTTATTTATTAGATATTCTTTGGCAAATAAGAAGACTCTGTGGTTAGCACTGGAAAGATAAAAAGAGTGCAACTCTCATAACCTAAAAGCAGAATATTTTCTCAGCATTTAAAAAAGATGATAAAAACCTGCTGTGTTTGCTGGGTCTATACAGATTATTTGCTTTTTCATATTCTCCACCATGTCTCAAATCTTCTGTTATGGTGATTATAAATTACTATCATCTCAGCAATGCTTGAAAGTCTTCTAAGTCATCAAATAGCTTTTGGGGAACTACTTGGAGACAAGAGCCTTGGTCACAGTAACCACCAGGGTTGCTAGCAGTCACACTGGAACGTCCACGGTCTGACACCACCACTTCTAAAAGTGGACAGACCATCACTGAGGCATATAAAAGGCTGTGTTAGAAACCACATCACTTCTAATGCTGCTATTCTGGCTCTTGGGAAGTCTGAAGACTTCAGTGGCCAGAGTTATCAATCCATTAGTTTTCCTAATCAAGCGCCTTTTGAAATACACAGATCTCTACCTGTATTCGGCTGTTTCCCCAATCTGCTACAATAATATTTCCATTAGAATCTACAGCTACTCCAGTTGGTGCATTAAATTGTCCGTTTCCTTCTCCATTTGATCCAAACTTCAGGATGAATTCTCCCTCCTGGTTAAATACCTGTATGGGTTAAAGCAAAAATCTGAATATGGCATCGTATCAAAGAGTAACCATCTACTACTGCCAGTTCACCTGTTAACAAAACTGGGAATTGAAGAGTTCCCAGGAACACACTCCCTCCTACACACACACACACACACACACACAAGATGGGAGAAAAGGTGCCCATCTCTCCCTCCAGCTCCACTACACCATAAAGTATTTCCCTTCTCACTTAAGATCAGGTTCATCTCAGACACAGAGGTGGAGGGCCCCAGGAACCTCTCTGCAGCTTGTGCATCTTGAATTAAGAAGACCTGATTAAGATGGCACTGGGAGTCAGTCCTACAGAAACACAACTGAGCAGATGCACTCTTCTCTGACGTTCATCATCTAACAGACACGGAGAACACGGCGTGCGGCTCCCTGTATAGACAGTTCAGCAGCGGAATTCTCTGTGAGGTTGGGTAACAGGTTTAGACAGCAGAAAGATGGAACCAATCAATGATTATTCTGTTAGGGAGCTGGATACACCAATGGGACCAAGTGAGATACAGGATATGTCATTTGTATAGCACCACTGCCACCTCTACTTATTTAAGACACTGGTGGCAGAAAGAGGCTTTGGGACCCATAAGAGTGAAAATTATTTATAAATTTATTTATTATTTAAAACAAAATTTACTCTCTGCTCTTTCCCACCATCTAACAAAACACAACAGCATCACCAAGATTATAAATTACTCTCCAAAGTGTCAACAATTATCTGTACTGATTTAAAGAACACTACAAAAATAAGAATCTTCTCCAGTTAGTACCAAATTGCAACAAATAACATTTTTATCCCATTGAATCACACCAGACACAGATGAGAACGTTCTGTTCTCATTAGGAATGCAATAATTATACATTTGCTAAGATGCCACACTTCTTACATTTCTTTGCTTGCTTTTTTTATTTTAGTTTGCCCGTGTTGTTAACTCTCTCCAGGCATTCTTGTTACCACAGTGAGCTCTACTGGTGAAGGGCTAATTTATGGAGTCATAGGCCTCCTGCTGCTAAACCACATACAAGATCTGCTTTAGGGCTCCTGCACCCCTCGTGGTTTCTTTGTTGTAATCCGAACCACATGAGTTACTACTTTCTCTGTAATTCCAAAAGGATACAAGAGCAAGGTCACTATTCAAAAGCTAGATGATCCAGCATCACTCAGGACATGAGGGTATCTATGCTCAGGCAGTGATTCCTATTTCAGGTGAGTATATAAGATTTATCATTTCAGTTCTGAACACTGAAGAACTGGATTGAAGGTTTATCTTTGTGTTCCATCAGAACAGGCAGCAATCAGGGCTTCAAAGGGTGTAAGGACCAGTGGCCAGTCTGCCCAGTGCAGGAGGTACTGGATGAAAACTGATGGTCTGTGTTAAACAGGTGTTAAGAGTGTTGGGTCGTAAATGGATACAGTAATCTTAAAGGTTATAGGTATGGAATTAAAGATTGTCAGGTATCCTTACTGTGCTATAATTTTATTCAACCAGAAATGTGGGCAGCTTTTACTGGGAAATTCAAAAACAGTTACTAGACTTACTTAAAATAGGAAAGAATATAGGGTAAATAACAGGTTTGGCAGAGAGCTAATAAAAATAAGTAAGTTGATATTATTTATCTCAGGTACAACTTACCTTTAAGCAATTGAATTAGAGAACATTAGAGTGGCACCAAAGGCAACGGATTATATTTCCATGAAGCAATGCACTGCAGGCAAAGGTCTCTGAACGTGCAGTACTTATATCAGACCTCATACATACAAAGTGTGATCTCTTTGTTTTTAATAATATTTTTATTTTCCCCAAGAAAGTATCATGATAAAATAAAAAGCTTTCCAAGTTGCCATTAATTGACAGTACCTTGACAGAATGGTTATGAAAATCTGTAACAATAATTTCATTGTTGCTGTTTACAGCTGCAAAATGAGGACCTGCAATGCAGAAGAAGAAAAAAAATAATAAAAATAATAATACCACTAAATCAAAAAGTTTGCTTAAATAAAAAAAAAAAAATTCAGACTGCCAGAATATTATATTTGGCCTCCGAGCAATAATAGTCAAATTGGGATATCAATTTCAAATTACAAGCAATTTCATGTCATGTTTTTAAAAGCTCAGCGTGCCTTTTTGTAAACACGATTAATTTCTTTTTCAATCAGCTGTCGGCTAGTGTTATCAATAAGCATTGTTTATTCCTTCCTCTCTCATATACAGATGACTATGTAGATATTTATGTGCTTACTAACAAGATAAATTTTAGGCATAAAGTTGTGTATACACTGAAAATAGTTCTCAAAAATGTTCATGTAAAGTCTTAATTGAAATTTTCTATGCTTTGTGTGCTCACTTCTTACGAGCACTTGAGCAATCAAGTTTTAGGATAAATACAAAAGTTACTTAGGGAAAGTAACTGTCAGGGAAAAAAGTGCATTTTTTGCTTTATTTTGTGTATTGAACTATGTGCACAAACTTGAATAAAAAACAAATGGTAGCTTGAAAACAGGCAAGTACCTGAATCAAAATACTTGGAGCTATTTTGAGTTATTAAACAGATCAGAACTCAGTTTCAATTTTCACAGTACATCAGCATAAACTATGAAAAGGTAAAAACCTCTATACTGAAAATCAAGTAATGACAATTCACCTGTTTTATGTAGCCTACCACTAAGAAGAGGTGATATATTTCTCCAATTCAGTTACAGAGTATTTGCACGCTTATTTTCAAGAGGTATTTTTAGAAATTTTTTAATGAAATAAATTTGGTATACCCAGAAAATTATGGTGACACTTAGCTGTGTTAGAGCCAAAGCTCTCATAAATTATATATATGGCACTTGTGCCACAAGACATTGCAAGAGATCTCAAGTAAGATAAAAGCAGTTACAGCACTGATGTAATTTCTCTCTTGTGCTGTGAAGCAGTCGGAACATTGGATCAATCTGTAAATACTCATTCAGAGTGACCTGACACCTGCAAAATGACATGCATATATAATTTGGCATCTTCATTTCAAATTTTGAAAGAACAGCTATTCACTGAAAATATATGGTTTTGGGGTTTTTAAAACTTAATTTCATGTTCTAATTGAAAGACACCATGTGCAAATGCTAAGTTGAATGTAAGTGGCAATAGTGTCTTCCTGATCTCAATCTTAACCATTACACTCATTTTCTAATGGGAGGAGACCACTTAGGGCATTGGTTAATGTGTATCTGATCTCTGGAAACACAAAGCATGGTGTTTGAGTTGATTATCATGATCAGCTGAGTGTGGCACTACAAAGCATTTATAAAATGCTAGTTAAGATCAGTCTTCCTGGGGTCACTGATTTGAAATGCTTCCAGGCACAGAGGTAGATGAAACAATCTGATTACAACTACATTTGCAGAACAGATGTTGCAGTCGTCCTGACCCATTAAACAAATGGTGATGTGAATAGGAGCTGTATGTTTCCTAGAACCTTTCCACCCCAGGAAAAACAAGTAGGATATAGCATCTTCAACATGCTCAAACATCACGCAAATGTGAGCACAAGAGGCAAGAAAAGGGGATTTACATATTACCATCAAGTGTACCTGCAAACTGCTTGTCACCATTTCCTCGACTGCCGAATCTGGTGACTATTTTCCCGTTCGGCTGGAAGATGAAAACACAGCATGCTTTATTGTCCACTACAATGATGTGTCCATTACGATCCACAGAAACACCTTTGGGGCCCATGAGCTTTCCAGAGCCAATTTTGGCCTAAAAGGGAAAACACAAAACAGGAAAATACATTGGCATGACAGAAATAAGATAATTACAGGCATACAGTGGCACAGAGACACATTTTTGTCATCAGAAGTTTCCCAGAGAAAAGTGATTGTTTTTATCAGCTCTTATTGTGTATTTCATAATTTTTTCTTCAGCTGAAAATAAAGACTGCTTTCTGTATGTCCTTCCTAGAATGGAAAATCTGCCACCTGAGCAACTGAGTCCAAATACACAACTGATGAGAAACATAATCATCAGATTTGTGTGTCTTGATAAACTACAGCATCTGTCAGAAGCCATCACAAACAGCTGTATAGCCAGCACTAGTGCACCAGTAGGACAGGCAGACAGGCATAAAGGAATTCTGCCTCCTATTACATACTATTCCTGAGTCCAACAACCACCTGGTTATGGATGGGGAAACATGCCTTTACCACTGACTGCTACATCAACGCCATCAGAGCTCACTCTTGGAGCATCAGAGCTCAACTACCCTTAGTAAGCCTCTTGCTCCTAATCCAGGGTATGTTCACATGGGTGGGGTTGCAGGTAAAAACAGGAGCCATCCCAAAATAAAGCTGTCTAGATTTCCTGAGGCTGTCTGGTACAAAGTCACCACTACACAACATCTTTCAGTCTCAATGAAGAAAACTCCAGGGAGCAAACTTTGCAGCTTCAAGACTATGTGAAGCCAACATGCAATGATCATATGTCTATTTATGTTCAGCTATATTCTTATAAATTGCTAAATATTTAGGCAAAACCCACCTAATTAAAACATGTGAAAATATCCTCTGGGAAAACTATTAAAAATTACTTTTATGTTCACCAGGGGAAAGATATGAGCAGACCTACAAAATGTATTCAGGTTTGCGTAACAACAAAGCAGCAAAAACATAAACCAAATGCAAATCAGTAGATTTATTTCCTTTGGGGCGATTAAATCATATTCCCTTCTTTCCTCTGGGATGCCTATGTGTTTGTCTGCTTGTGCATTGCACCACCTTCTTACCATCTTTCTAGGATTCCTATGGAAAAATGACTCAGACTCATGAGTACAGTGTCTTCCTGCCCATATAAATACATAGGAAAAAAAATCATGCATAAATCACGTACTACATTAATGGGCACTCAGTGCTGAGAAGAGTAATAAAAATCACCATTGTTGGGCCAGGATTTAAAACATAATTTGCAGGCAGCAATAAATTATGCCCAGCTAGAGTTTGCAGTGCTTTTTACTAAAAATCTCTGTTTCCAGTTTAGATAAAAATATGCTGATGACACATTACTGGGTCTAGCTGAACATGTGCTTTGTATATTTTTATTTCAGAAAGTTTCTTAGAATTGATTTCTTAGGTTTGATTATTTAGAACAGAACATTATGAAACCCAGTCACTCCTGTAAAGTGTATGAATGGAAGTATTTTCAGACTTTTCTGCCATTAGAAATGAAAAAAGTATAATGAATCATCTGAATCCGTAATACAAATAATGTGTTTAATTGAATTCAGTCAAGGACAATATGTCCCTTCTTTTATAGGCTCTTATGAATTTAGACTGGTTTTTAAATACACATTTATAAAGTCACCCAACTTAGGTGGAAAACATTCAACCGTGGGATATTCCTAGGGGTAAAAAAATCAGCTAGCCTATATAAAAATTTATAAAGACTTTTCCACTATAGAAGTAGATGTGTTAGGGCTTTAAGTTTAACTCCACCAATCTTCATAGATTTCATAGATTTCTAGGTTGGAAAAGACTTAAGAGATCATCCAGTCCAACCGTCCCTAATCCCCCATTTAAACCATATCCTAAGTAGTTCATCATCTTGTTGCTGTCTGAAAGGTTTGCAATTGTCAGGAATTAATTTACAGACTTTCAACATACCTTCCTTTCCTATTTGAGAGCTTCCCTAGTATGGAGATGCAGCTTTGTCACACATTGCAGTGTCGCACAATAAATGGATTTATCATTCATGTGACTGTCCTAATTCAACTGTGACCTCTTACTAACACTCCACACAACTGTTCCTATCTGAACATGCAACCAGCTTCAAGCAGCTACCTTCTCAATACTTCTAATGAGACAAGAGAAAAAAAAAAAAGTCTGACAGATAAAATGTTTCCTTTAATCTTTTCTCACTCATCTAAACTTGATCTTGACTTGGAGCCCTGTTTGGCTGACAGCAAGCTGTCTTAGATGCAACCCGTCAAGACTAGAATGAAAGTAATTCTCTCCTCAGAGGACCCAGAATCATCGTCTTGGCCCTGTTCTCCAGTTCCTTCACCAGGTTTGACCACCACCACTGGCTCAGAAGCAGGATAATACAGCCTTTCATTTGAAAGGACTCATGTTTTGATGTAACCTTAGATTAGGGTTTGTCCACCTCTGCATTATGCAAGTTTTACAGCCTTGAGAAAACAGAGTTGTCTCTGTTGCTACCAGCGACTGAGGAAGGTGACACTTTTCTGCCTGGCAGTGGAGGTTGCTCGGGTGAGTCAGCCCAGTGCTGTCATCTGGGAGATGCCTAGGCCCAGCTCCAGGGGAAATGTGCCTTCTGGCTCACATGACTATTAAAGTGTCAGTAAGGAAGAGTAAGTGTAAGTAAATACAGAAAGAAGGGGATAACAACAAAAATAGATTAAGTTCAAAACAGCTCCCTGATAATGCCGAGTTAACAACTAGCAGACCACCTGCATCAGAGATCATATACAATGACTTGCAGGCACAAGTCCTTTGAAGGGAAACACCATTATCCCCTTATCTATCTCTTTGTGCATCTTAGCAAGCGTTGCCCAATTTAATCTGACAAAGCCCCTGTAAGAATTATCATCGCCAACACACACAAAATTACAAGGCTTTGCCCAGACTCCCACAGGCTAGACCTGTTATATCCATATCCTGTGCTTTAACTGTATGATTATGCCTGCCCTCCATATATAAAATGCTTCTACAAACATTCATATGTTTTTCTCTCATAAATATAGCCTGTTGCATTCAATCTAAAAATAGTATTTTATATCACTGATGTTTGATTTCTCATTTAATCAGTCTACTCCCAAGAACTATAATGTCTGGTGTATTAACTTGTATTAACCATGCAAACATTGCCAACTTCACATAGCTCTTGCAATCCAACAAAAACCTTGACTAAAACCAAAAGTAGGCTCCACATCAGAGGAACTACCTTAATAATTCATTTTTTTCAATATCTGTCTCTCTGCTGGTAGTGTATAGCACATAGGGTCCTGGCTCCTCCAGAGCCAAGGCAGCTTCTTCCAGAGCTGACACAATGCAAAGTGCTGGATTTACAGCACATCTTGAAAAGGAAGGAAAATGAGCCCTCCATGCTCTGTGTCCAGATCAAGCCAGTTCACATTAAAGATGTTAATAATTATTTAAAACACACTTAGGTTACTCAGAGTATTTGGATTCTTAACTAAATTACATCTTTCTTTGGTTTTGTTTTCACGTCTTCATTTCATTCACAGACTTCAGCCAAAACCAAGGTTTTCCTGTGTAGCTGGACATTTTCAAAACTACTTGACAAGGAAAATAACATATTCTGCAAATGCAAGTAATTTATGGGTTTTTTTAATGCTAGCATTGCTTATTAGTATTGTTTTATTTTAGCTTCAAGTCTACACAGGATCTGGACACTTTTAAAAGCATACACGTCTGTTTCCTAGATGGAGGTCACTGAGGACTATGCAAGCACAACTGCCTATTTGCCATAGCATTCGTCACTTTGCAAAGACTACTCAAAGGAAATACATTTCTTGGTACACAACATGAGCAGCTCAGGACCTAGGCATTTTGGTCATTAGACTGCTAGAAAATTAGCCAAAAAGGCAATTTCTCTCCAATGCAGGACTCTAGAACTAAAGCAACTATGGTAGACATTTGCCTGCAGGTCCATTATCTGATGGAACATTGCCTACAGCCAGCCTCTGCTATAGGTGGCTATTTCTAGCACGCCAGACTCAGTAACATGCATTCAGAGAGCAGCGCCAAATGGAGGCTGCTTTTAATTCTCTCTGGAATTGCACCTGAACCCAAGCAAAGTAAAAATTGCAGGTTGGCAACCATCAGCGTAGTGTAGTAGCCGCCTTTTTATTTTAGTCCTATTAAAGGGATCAGAATTGCTATGAAAATGAGAGGTGCATTTTTCTCACAACTTCTGATTTCTGAAACCTAAGACATTACTACCGCCTTTCAATTTTTACGGTGCACATCACCCCACCCAAAACACTCCTGTCTATGCTGTAGCACTGAAACAACATCCCGGGTTGCCCTTCCTTGCGTTTATTACCGACAGGATCATATGAATTATATGCTTGACTTGCTGATACATACGGAGTAAACAGAGGAAGTCATCATCGGTCTGCTACCTTATTTTTCTCTTCCATATGTCACTGAAGAGCCACATGTCCTCCTTAGAAGTTTTTATGTCTGTCTGTGTGCATATACAGATATGCACACACCTTTCTGTGTAATCAGAATACAAATGATATGAAGGTTGTTGTGCTAGTCTAACTAGGCTTGATTACATTAGCTATCCTCAACTATAAGTTACAGAAAGGTATCCAAGCACTTAGTATGTAGGACTGTAAAATGGACCATATCATCTCTATTTGGTATAACATTAGTATCATATCTGTGACCTCTTCCTATGAATTATTCAACATAGCTGTGTTATGGGTTTCCACATCACAACAATGGAATTTGGACTAACGTTACAACCAAACTATGTAGTTTCTTGACAAAAAAAAAAAAACCACCACATTACTTTTTGCATTCTTTTGTAAGACAGAGAAAGCTCAGGAGAGTTCATATGGTAACTTGTACCTTAAATTTTCCATCTGATGAGAATATGCTAACCCATTTGTTATCATAATCTGCAATAATGATATCATCACTGGGATGCACAGCCACTCCTGTTGGCCGCTGCAACTGGCCGGGAGACCTTCCTCGTATGCCAAAACGGCTTTTGAACTGACCATCATTGGAAAATATCTGTAACAGAAAACATCCATTTTAAAATTAAGTCTGCATAATAACATTATCTATCTCTTGGAGCTTAGATTTTAACAAGTCACTAATGAACACTATAGCCAGGAAGTGAGTTAGAAACGTAAAGCACCTTCACATGGTCCATATTTGAAAGTGATATGTCTAATTTAAGACACAGTTTCCACCTGGATCCTAATTTCAAAACACAGAAGTTCTCTGCACTTACATTGCACTGTTTCTTCAGTGATTCCAAAGTACTTTACGAACATTAGTGAATTAAGCTTCACAATGTCCCTCTCAGCTGGAATAAAGTGTTATTATTCTCATATTAGAAATGAGGAAACTGAGGCACTGAGTGACTCAGCCACAGTCAAACACTAAGTCTGTAGAAAAGACAGGAATAGAAGCTAGAAGAGAATTTCAAAATTTAATTATTTGACTTTGGAATAAGTATTAGGCCATTTCCTGAGGGATGCTTTAGCCATGCAAAATTCAGTCCACTGGTTGTGTCCCCAAGCCAGGTAATTAGACACTGAAGTTCCTCTGAAGTGACTGCAAATTACAAAGTGTGAGGGTGCTGATGAATATTTGACTCTGTCTCTTTGAAAAGGCTGGGAAACAAGTACTTACTGCATGTGGCTTGCTGGTTCTCACATACTGAAGAACAAGCCACACACTGCTGCCTTGTTCATTGCTACCACATGGGCAGCCTGAAGAGTGATGACAAATTGTTAATGGTGAAAAAGATACATGACAAGCAAAAGAAAAAACACAGCTTGATTTTCACACAGGTCACACAAGCCAACAAATCATGGGTGTCAGGGCTGCTACCACAGAAAAGATTTAATCACATCAGACAAAAATCAGTTAAGTAGACTTAAAGCCATTTGAAAATGACATCTACATGTTTATTTTTGTATTTGTATTTGCTCTAGAAATAGTATTTGTGGCACCTTGCCCTAGATTTATATTTGGAATCACAGAGTGATAAATACATAATGTAAAATGATATTTACAAAAAGGCACTTTTTACAGATTATTGCACTACTTGTTTTCTTCATTGTTTCATTGCCAAACATCATAAGGAAGGGAAATAAACTCTGATATACATACTAGATATAGTGTAGCTCTGAAAAAGATAGCTGCAGGTCAAGAAGATGGGATGATAATGGATGAGAAACAAGTTGAGCTTCCTCCGTATTTTCTACATTTGCTTGAATTCTACAAAATGTGTCTTTCCTGGAGTACAAAGAAGGCAGATGTGTAGGGGTGGGGAGACAAAGAAAAATACTGGAAGTGGCACATCCTCATACCTGCACACACTGGTTGTTACTGTCTGCTATTAGTATTTTTCCATTTGTAGATGCAGCTACACCTTGAAGATTTGTAAATTCCCCTTTGTTTCTTCCTTTGGTGCCTAAAAGTGAACACAAAGCACATAAGAAACCAAGTTAGACAGGACTAATCAGTTAGGACCTAAATGCCAACATATGCATTTATTACATCCTTGATCTATAGATTTCTATTTTGAAGAGTTCTTATCACTGCTACAACTTCAAAGAACCATCTCAGTAACAGATCCACAATTCCAAGTACAAGAAGGGATTGTTCTTACTCTTTGGCATGTATGCCATCTAAGCCGCCATCAATGTAATTACCTCTTTGGCCTTCCCGAATCAAAGTGTTCACAAATTGCCTCTTGCATGAGGGAAATTGTAAAATGTTTTCTCGTAAGTGATGGACTTTTTTTAAATTGCGGATTTTTATTCAACTGAGAAGCCAATGATAGGGGCAGTACTGTGGGAACATATAAACACAGGCTAAGATAGAGAGATGGCAAGGATAGATGACAAGGGTTTAGTACAATTAACTAAATCTCCTCAGTGAAGTCGGGAAGTTAAGATAAAATGCTTTGGATGGGGCCATTTCAAGACAGGGAAGTCTCCTATTCATTCATACACAGTTTTCAGTCAGAGGCTTTAAAAGTGCCCTTAGAAAGGAAGCTCAGATGAAGAACTGGTTTTGAATGATTGGGACATGTGGGCCAAAGAGACCAAACCTGGAGACTTAATGCTTCTGCAAAGACCTTAGATTGTTCTAATAAAGCAGTATATACACACAGAGGTCCCATTTTTCACTCAGGACAAATGCAATAGTGATTTACATAGAACTGTAAGTCTCTTCTCCCATGGCTCAAGGGGATAAGGAGCTGTAAAATGTCAAATTTTCACAAAAGTTCATTAAGTTTAGGTGTCTCATTACTTAGATGTTTGTTCTGAGATGTTCTGAGGAGAGTCACACAGCAAACTGATGTCTTTAAAAGGTCAGCCCTGAAGTGGCTGGTCCAAATTACAACTAGAGCACAGGAACAGTATCCAAATTCCTGCTTTGTTTGTGAAGGAGGCCCAGGGGTCTTTAGACAAGACTGCAATTATGATCTTGGACCCCAAGGTTATTCATAAATGAATGAATGAATTTTGAAACAAAAAGACTCTATAAGCTGTTCTTTCCAAGACCTGGATGCAGCGCTATTTTTCCTGGTGAAGTATTTTTACAAGCATTTGCTGGCTGCGTATCAGACATTTATTGGTTTCAATATATGTTTTTAACTGAAAAACTTGTATTTTATTTTAGTCTGTTCAAAATATCCTGGAGCTCAGCGATTAAAACTGCTCTGACTGTGAAGCCCAGTATAAGACACACATATTAGCCCTAATATGTATTTAGCTTTCATTAGGGATGCCTATGCTCTTAACAACCCTTCTTTCTGCTGTGCTGATGGCTGTGGGTAGCGTATTTCCTGTCACTGGCTAACGAGTAACATTTAATTCCTCTGCACTTGGTGCTGTGAGCATGTCCCTTTGTTTCAAAGCTTGTTTTCTTGAACTCCATATCCTTACATCCTCTAAACAAGGCAAATACTTCTCAATTTTTGTACTGCAAGGGGAAAGTACATATTCAGGGAGTAGTTAGTTACACACCAATTACATTACCCACACTTGAGCCATTTCTGTATATTCTTCTAACAAACAGTGCCTGAGGGATGCATGCAGTAATTTTTTTCCACCATATGCTAATGATAAGTTTCCTTTTTGCCTTTTAGCCAAAGACAATGCATGAAAAGGGAGAAACATTCCTTTCACCACTGAGAGTAAAGGGAAAACATTTGTTAGAAAAGAGGAGGCGTAAGCTAGAGCATCTGGAAACAACTAGCACAAACAGTATGGAATGTACGGTCTTTACCCTTAGAAAAATGTTCTTGAAAGTCAAGGAATTTCATTTTTAAAGATAAGAGAGACCTATATAAAGAGCTGCTCAGTGTTCTTCAGTGGGACCTTGTAAACATACATCAAAGGAAAAACAGAAGAAATTACCCAGGAATGCCAGTCACATTTCACAGTAAGTTTAAGAAACAGTAATTTTGTTAGCACAGCATGCAGATGAAATTCGGTTCCATGCGATGTCCTTGTACATAGCACTTTGCAGCTATTAAACCCATCACATATGTCCTAATTTGCACACAGGCCTTTATACAGTCCCCTCTGCAGTGGCACACGTCTCTGAAGAAGCAAGCTGAGGTTAGTAAAATACAGCTTAGTTCCTAACTTTTGTTCAAGAGGAAAACAGGTAACTTGGAACTTTCTGATTTGAATAATTCACTATGTCAGCACATATGTGAATCCAAGCACGGCCAGCAGCAGCACTTCAGATGATGACAGAAAAGCTTGCAGTAAAGTACGTCAGCCTCTGGAAAAGCAGGATCCTGCAACTGACTTTGTAATACCAAAGGATGATAGCTCCTTCCTGTAAGTAGATATTTCTGCCTTATAAACGCTCCTGCCTGAGAGAAAGTCTTCAGCAAATCTTTCACTGCAAGATACCACCCCTCTGTATCAAGGCACCCCAGGCTTTGTCTTTTCTTCTCTCAGCCATGGGCAGTCACCCATCGCCCCTTAGCCTAGGGAGGCACCAACATTTCAAATACACAGGGCTGGAGCTAGGGAACAGTTGTGGGATCTCGTTCCAGTGCTTCCCAAGCAGCCTGGTTCGGAGATGAAAGCCTGCACCTTTTGTGCTTGTTTTGCCCAGCCTTACCTCCTGCCTCTTCTGAGCTACTGCAGGGCACAAAGGAGGAAAAGAGATATTTTACTGCAACTTCTGTGGCAAGATGCTTGGGATTGGGAGAAGAGTGCAGAGTTTTCAAAGAGCAGGCTGATGAGAGTTATAAGGAAGCAGATCTGTGGCCTGTGGACTAGTTGCTTTTATACCATCTTTGTATACAGCTCTCTAAATAAACAATCAGATTTGCCTTAGCCCTGTCTAATTCCTTCTGGTATAACAGAGCATGGCCTGCACAAACCAATTAATTTAGCTTTGAAGATACGCTTTCAACAAGAAAGTATCCATTTTCAGCTCAAGACAATCTAGCACACATAAAATGCTTCATAATTTCAAACTTTTATTCTTGCATAATACAGGCCAGATTGAATTTCACCAAAAAGAAGGAAAAAAAAAATCTAAAAGCATCAGAGGAGATGTTAAAAATTCTATCATGTAACTGCAATAAGAATCTGCTCTGTAAGGGCTGGGCATCTGGACAAACCTGCTGTACAATGTACATTTTTGATGCTCATAACAAGAGAAGGAGTGTTTTTTGCTTTCTAAGTTTTACTAATACGAATAATAACCTCCCTGCTTGCTAACCTAGATGTACCAGCTTTCTAAAACCATGTCACTGCCCCCAGCAGGAAGGGAATGGATTCAGAGAGACAAAAACCCCGCAGAAAGATTACAGATTAATGGGGAGACTTTAGAGGTTGCAAGTAGCCATAACATGCTGTTTAAGTACCATTTCTTTCCTGTCTACAACACTTCAAATACTTCTTGGACTGTTCTCTACGTGGTACTGAGAAAAAGAATAAAAGTAAACAGCATGGAAAGGTCTACATACATACTGCACAGAGGTATCAAGGAGTTGTTGCTTGCTAGCCTTGCTTCTTTTTTCCTTGGAGTGCCATAAGACACTTAGTCAAACCCTACACATTATTAGGGCGTGATGCCCTCTCCATAATAGATACGGCTGAAGCACAAAGGCTCTGTAGCAAAACTGCACCGAATCAGACTGTTAACAAGCTATGTGCTTATTGTAAAATAAATGTCAGTGATTCTAATCCCAGTTCCCATGCAAATCTAGGTTTTAAAATCAATCAGTCTGTTGGATGAAGGCACACAATGTTTGTAACCTTTAAAGAGGAATGAATAATTCAGTAGGAACTCTGGCAGATACTCCCACACGCTGTTGGTAGCGAAGTTCAGGCTGATTTGTATTAATTTGTTTTACACAGTATCTGTCCCTAAAAGCTCGGCCAAGACCGCCTCCAAGCCTTGCTTGTGCAGCAGAGACCCTGCCGCCACATCTCACTGCCCACAAATCCGGGGGGTAGGTGCACCTCAGAAGCAGTTCTCTGCTGGTACAGCAGCGAAAGCCCAAATGACACGAGTCAAACCAAGATCAGGTCTCTGTCATCAGGACATCAGACCTACACTGGGGATTTTGGCAGCAATGTGATGCCAGAGTCCTTCAGTCCCGGCCCAGTACAGGTATGACTGCAAAACCATGCAATGCAAGCATGGCCAAATTTCACAGTGGCCGTCACAAATACATAAAGAGTTCATGACAAGCCTCAGAGGGATTTGAGCTAATAAACTGGAAAATTAAATTATATTTCCCCATCACTAGGGGAAATATATTTCTATTTCTACAGAAACATAAATTCTGTATAGAAAACATCTTGCTATTTCATATTACTTATTAATGGGTTTGTTCCAGAATTCTTAAATAGAGAATGAAGAAAAACTGATTAAAGTGTGTCAGAGGGGCCTCTGCATTTCTTATATCATACTTCTGCACTATAGGGAACAACTACACATACACACCCCTTCCTTCTCCAATGTCCTTAGGCAGGCTGTAATTTGTCCAGGACAGGACCTTGCTGGGAAGGTAGAGAAGGGTCGAGGAATGGGAGGAAGCAGGTGCTGCTTGCTACAGGGGAGAAGGTTCCTCTGGACCATCCATACAAGGAGTTAACTGCAGTTGGAAAAATACACACTTTTTCAAGAAGATGTGTACCCATATAACCCACTTGAATTTTTGTAAAAGCTCAAAAAGTATACATCTAAAGGCAGCTTTGTTCCTTTCAAATAAGACAATCCAATACAGAGTTTCAGGCAGAGGCCTTCAGAGAAAGTTAAAGAAGAAACCCCTGATCAAGAATCCATTTGCTCCCCTCTAAACCTCCTTTAAAATTGCACTAAAGCTATTATTACACAGGCCTTGTTCATGAGGTTTTATTCACAGTAAGGCTCCTATTTATATATATATGTATATATATATATATCTCTCCTATCATATCCTGT